AAAAAAAAGCTTTGCACATATATATATATATATATATATATAGCTGAAATAAAGGGTACCGGCCGGCTGGGATAACTGGGTCGTAGCAACTGCCCTGATATATGTGCTATACAGATAAGCCCTTTTGAGGCCCTAAAGAAAGGTCTTTTTTGTTTTGCTGTAGTAATGTGTTTGAGATCTGCTGGTGTTATGAACAGAAGTTATCCTTTCAGCATTAAAAGAAAGAAACTATTTTTGCTTTCTTTTTCATATCTTTTACTGCCACAGCAATGTGTGGTGTTATGAACCCCAACTCAAAATTAGATGAAGTTGTGTTAGAGCAAGAGGAACAATGTCTGGAAGATACTAAAATACCGACTAAAATGGATTTCCATAACAATTTCAATAACCCAAAGAATCAAATCATGACTGTTAGTTTGCCCCCAACTACAGCATCAAACTTTTTATCTCTCACTGGGAAATGGAGAACCCATCAACAATGGAACCCCAATATTCTAATAATAGCAGCACAATGAATCTAATCTAAACAATTGAAGAAGATAGAGACACAGACATTTGGATAGCATACCAAGAGGTCTTCCTTTCCTTCAAAGAAGCCTAAGATGCCAAGTATCATTCAATCTCTTAATCTGCCATCCAAGTTTCCAAGAATGCTATCCACACCAATCTTGTTGGACACAGCCGGACTGCAGCCAAGGAGTCCGGTCAACAGGCATCTGATTGGGGTGGGGTGACAGAAAACACCAACACAAGAAGACACGAGCGGATGATCATTACTATCGCTGTTACTACAAGTCCTCATGTCTAAGCCGTGGAGCGTAGGGACACTGGGGGAACATCTCGTCATCAGCCTCGTTGTCGCCAGTTGTCACCATCTGAAGCCTGCCTCTTGCCGGATTTCTTGCGATGGAACCCCTGTCACGAAACACAGTACTATCCGAGATTTGAACAAAATTCCATCATAAGGAAAGCAACAAGTGAGGCAGCATACTTGGCAAACAGATTGTGCCGTCGCCCCGTACTCGATCCAACGGCGAGGTGTACACCGCGCTAAACCTCACACACCCCTTGACTTCAAAAACACGGCCAGTGCCCGGACCTGCCGTTTGCCGT